AATTTCTGTAAGGGAAGGTATTGCTACATTGGTATTGCTTCTGACGAGTTTATACACAAAATGAACAGGAAATACACACTTTGGAAGTTTGGACAGCACTTGTCAGGTTGCTAGCTAGTAACAGAGGGGAAAAATTAAATTTATTACAGAATATTATTCATATTTATATTCCTCTTTATAATTCACTAAAAACTTAAAAATTCTTTTCCCAGTGCAAAAATTAAAATACATTAAAGCATGAAAATTTAATATCCATCGCTTATTAAATTTGGAAGTATCTCATCCCTGGACAGCAATCCACATTTTACAGCAAAGAGCCACGGGAGCAAAAATCCAGTATGCTTCTGGGACCATCATTTGCTATTATTTAAGAATTCTAGAAGATAAATTCCCTTGCCTTGTATTTGTTCCATCTAATTTTAAATCACTGATGTAAAGGTAAAAAAAAGTCTGCTTTTATGAGGCTTAAAAAGCGTAGCAAGTGTGAAAGCTCTGCAAATGTGAACGTGTTACTTCAGACCACAAGAAACAAAGAAGTGCCATTAATAATTTGCTCATCATGTCACTGTTTACTACATAAATTCAAGTACTTTCTAATCACTACTGTAAGGGAGGGAAGTGGTGCAAGGTTCAATTTGTTGACGTGCAAAAGAACGTCCTTTAAATTTATAGTTCTGAAGATTGTGTTATCTACCCATTAAGAAGTTGAAATTATTATTTTCTTGACAGTTGCAGAGGTTTTGCAGACATTACACCTATCACTGACAGGTGCTCAGGAAATACACATTGCAATTACTTTATCATACCAAAATATATTTTTAAATACTTAATACACCACTGACTATACATTTATATGAAAATCACCATATAATATTTATTAGGACATTTTTTTCCTGTGTTTCAGAAATATCCAGTGCCAATCTGATCGATTAAGGAAAACACAAAGCCAGATGCAGTTTCAATGCAACCTTCATGGGGAAGTCCATAGATACAAGGGAGGTTGATTTGAACGGGACCAGGGCTTCACCCAAAGTGTAGGTGTGCAGATGGAAATTTATGTATTCACACTGAATACTTCCTGCTGTAAAGCAACTTTATTAATAACAGAATATCAAGGATTTTTGTTAGCCTTTTTTTTCAATTTACTTGAATTAAAAATAGAGAAGTCTGTACGAAATAGAGTGACAGCCTCCTCAGTGTGGCTGTACCTACATTAGCATTTTAATCCAGATCAGGAGTGTGCTTTTCAAGTCTCCTGATCATCTCCACTTGTTGCCCTTTGGCTTACACCACTGGGCACTCCTGTCAGTAAGCTAAGTGACACGCTCCAGGAGTAGCCTAACAGAGGTCAGCTCTTACAGGGTACTCAGTCAGAGGGAAGAGAACGTGGCAAGTTCAGAGTAAACCCCTGCAGAAATGTGTGAAGAGTGGGTGTCAAGTCCTCAGCACCTCTACAGATCTCTTGCAACTGGGCTCTGTATTTTCCTGTACAATCAGTGCATACTCAGGTTCACATCGGAGGGTGATTTTTATGGGAAATTGCACTCACATCTTGGTGAATTCCTTGCAAAAGGGCCACTACACATCTCTTCATAAAGCCATACACCAGAGGAGAAATATGAGCCTTCCCCTCTTTGGAAATGGCTTTTTTTTTTCCTACCCAGCTCTCAGGTAGGTCTCAGATGAAATTTGACTCTAGCAAGTACAGAAACAAATGCAGAGTGTCAAATCCACTGAAGAAACGTGGTGGTGACCATCCTATATAAAAACCCAATTTTTCATGCTAAAAGAGGGTAGAGCTCATCTGCAGCCTAATTCCATACTGATGTCATTTCTACTCACTTCAGGCTACTCCTACTGCAATGATTTCCACTGAGCTGGTACTGAGTAGCATGGATACCAATGAATCAAAAAGCAAGTCCATTTTATTTTTCATTAATAATCTGTTCATAGTTTCCTTAAACCCTTAATTGACCAGCTAATTTAATACTTAGGCTCTTCTGCAAGTTTGGCTAACCTATAGCACCGCTGCAAGAGCACTACTTGCACATTAAGCTCTAAAGGCAACAAGTATCTTCAAAGAGCTTCAGCGATATTCTAAACTGCATCAACATTAATGTTGCACTAGAAAAAGAAAAGTTAATTGTTACACAAAACCCTTTCCAGGAAGGAGTTCATCACAGCCTGAGAACTACAGTACACAACTTTCAGAGCAAGGAGGTTTCTTCTCTATGGTCCCTTGTGAAGAAGATTACACAGTTAAGCCTAACAGAAAAAATGACAAAGAATTTGTTCAGAACGGATAATGACTGCTTTACACAATTCTCAGCAAATTAAAATTGCAGTTAAAGTGAATTGAGCCCAATTTCCCTACGTAACTTAGTTACAGTGAAGGGATAATGAGCCGTATGACTGAACCCACCTTGTTCACTAATATGACTATTAATACAAGGAAGGAAAGACCGTGCCACTAAATTAAAACAATAATACTGTTAAAATGAAAGCATGTGTTTGAAAACTTTGTAAAATACAAGGAGTTTTTTCTTCACTGTTTTGCAGTTATTAGTATTATACAAATCAAAACCTAATATTCAGCTTGCACAGCATTTCATAGTCATCTGAAGACATATCAGTCAAATTGCAAACATAATTGGAGATGATAATTGGACTCCAAAGGGGTTTTCTTTGGCTTGCTTGTTTGCAGTCCAGGTGGTTATCTTAAGTTTGACTGATACTCAAGCAGAAGTTCTCCCTTTTATTTTTTGCTAAATAAGTTACAAATGTTTTCCAAGCATAGGTCTTTCCCACCATATAACTGACCTTAACTTGGGAAATAAGCAGTGAGAACAGGAACTTATGTTAAAAAGCAGATTAAATGGCATTTTATACACACACACACATGTGTTTTAAGTAACAGTACCACCTTCTAACCACAACAGGAATAAGAACAAAGCCAAAATGCAATGCCTTGACACAATATTTAATGATCATCTACCCATGGATGTAACATTACCCATAGCTGACTGCTATCTACTGTTACTGGACATGCGCTTCCATTGCTCTGATGATGTTACACGCAGAGAAGCTGACCTGGGGAAAATGCACGCACCATTAAATGAAAAAAAAAAACAACCAAACAACCTAAACAAAAGAACAAAATCAGCCCTCATCCCCTACCCCTCAAAAAACCTCGAAACACAACACCCCCAGGAAAAAGCATAAAACAGTAGGAAGGGAGGCTGAATATGAAAGGGTTACTTTTCCAGGTGTCTATCTCCTTTCTTCAGATGCTAAAGTACCCACATACATGGACACCTAATTAATAAACGATGCTGAAGATGTAACTTACTATACTTTTTATTGTGCTGTCACATAAGACATATGTGACAGCACTTTTTATTGTGCTGTCACATATGTGGGAGTTAAAAACCGCATGATCTCAACCTCCTATGTTGAAAAAACACACGCTCCTCACCAAAACCTCACAGATACACTTAACAGCATACCTACTACAATCAACTGACTTCAAGATGAGTTTTTCTCATCCTTCTCAATTTAACATTGGAAAAATTAATGCATAATAAACACCTTCCAGTTTCCTATAGGAAAAGAAGTTTCCACACAAATTCAGCATCATCCATAACCCCTGGACTGATTTAGGTTTCAATTTTCTCCTGGCAGCATTCATATGACACTAACTGCTCAGGGTCACAAAACATTATCCATCAACTTCCAGGGCTAATTGTAACAATTATATTCCTTTGCAATAGAGCATAACTATTTAGAATGCTCTTGGAGTTGCTGCCTGCCCGGAAAACATTGCCTCAAGCATGTTGTCCAAATACGTATCATTACCTCATTCTACAGCAAAGTGGTTTTGAATTATTCCCCCGAGTATGACGCCTGTTTACAGAACCATGGAATTTTCTTCTGAAAAAAGTTTTTGTTGATCATAATATTGTCTTAGGTCATTCTTTAAGTCATTAACAGTCAGGAATGTAAAGTTTTCAGCATTAACACATGGTAAACTAGTGAGATTTCTATAGTATAACATTAATTATTTTTTTTTACCAGCTTATTTCAGTCTTAACTGAGTAGCTCTGTTTTGTAAAATAAAGTAATAGACAAAAATTAATTTATTGTAGGTTCTGTATATAATAAAACCAACTCTGAAGGCAACACCATGCAAGTGTCCTGTGGAATGATTTTCATTTTTCTGCTTGTAAGGCTGCAATGGAACAAAAGCAATACTGAAGGCAAAACATTAAGTGAAAAAAGGAATGGGAATAGCTCAGTTACAGATAACAATCTGTCTATGGTGCAACCAACTTCACAGAGACTTGATCTGTCTATGGTTACTACCACGAATCCTTCTCCTGTCAGTCATGTTGCATCAACAACTGCCAATGACAAAGAAAATGTAACGAAGACAACAGAGATGAGGAGTTGGCCCAACAGCACATCCCTGAGGTCCACTGATGGCACCACTTCATCTTCAAAGGTCACTACGATATCAAAAGATGGAATAAATAATTCTGCCACAAACTTCAACAGAACGTCTTTAGCAATGTTTACAACCATGGGTGACTTTTCTGGAGTGACCCAAAGTGCTGCAGCTATTCCTATTTCCACAGAGACACCAAGGAACACCACAGCCACCTCTCATACCCCTCTGTCTGCAGAACAACCCCGTGATAACTCTTCAATCAACCCCACCACGTTGATCCCCACCGGTATCACTCTGACATCACCCACAGCAAAGCAGGACAGTCCTACACCAAACTTCAACCCCACTCAGCAGACAACAGAGAAGAATCATAATTTTAGCAACACTTCCACCACATCATCTAATTCAAAAGATCCCAGAGAAGGTAAGTATCTAACTAAAGTCCAACTGGAGTAATAAAATTATAATGCTGATATCAAACCTTTTTTAATTGAACAGGAGGCTCCATAAAATATGTGAATTAATAGATGACCTAGTACAGACTAAAACTCACCCCAAATAAAAATACATTTAAAAATTATTTGCTGTTAACTTTTTTGTTTAACACTTCCGAGAGTGAGGGAACCTAATGACAGGTACTGCCCCTTCGCACTGGAGCAGACCTATAAAGCAGACGTGTAGAAATAACATTTAAAATGTGTAATATATCAACTTATTTAAGTTCAGAAACTTTTGTGACCAAAGATGACTTCTTATAAATACTTCCAAAGGAATTACTCATTGTGCATTTAATTACCAAGTTGAGTATGCGTGGGAAAACACGGGAACATAAAACTGTCATGGCACTTTTCTATCCTGCTGCTCTGAATCAGGTCTTCAGGAAAAGAAAAGGAAAGATTAGAAGACAGTAATTTTTTGCCATTAATTAGCTTCAAGCTTTTAACACAGGACTGAAAGGCTTATCCATCATATCCAGTGGAGTACAGTTTGTACCAAGAACTGAAGGAGCATCAGACTTTCATGTTTTCCCCATCACAGTTCTAATAATTATAATGTACCCCACTTTTAGATAACATGATGACTGAAAAGGAAAGGGGGTGGGAGAGCAAGTTCAGTTCCAAGAAAAACAGAATACCTTGAAGAAAAGTTTTATGAAATCTGAGGAAAATCTTGGAGGAATGCAGTTATTCTGCTAACTGAACAGGGGCAGAAAGTGTTAGTGGATTTCTTACCTTGCATACTCAGAAACTGGTACTCTAAAACTTAATCACGCGAAATTCAGAGGCTGCAATTTTAACTCCTGACTTAAATACTTAAAAATAATTGCATTCTAAGAGTGATTATTGCTTCTTTCTTTAAATAAAAGGACTGGTTGATTCTGGAATTACACCTGGAACCCTTTCTGACTAAAATCTCATTTAGCCTTCTTTTGTTTTAAACCTCAGTTATACCCTTGAAAGTCAAGGATGAAGATGTCTGCTTTCTTCTACCAAGGCAGAGAGTTTCTTCAGAGAGGCTGGTTTGGTCTCGGCCTGCAAAGTGTTTCAGATCTTTGGTGAAAAGTCTTACTCCCCAAAGCCCTCGACTGCTATAAAGCAAGAGTGAATTATCTGATTTTACAGATTATTCTCATCCAACTGCCTCTTCTTTCTTTCTCTCCTAGACAAAACTAACAAGGGAGGAGTAATAGTTGGTGTCATTGTAGGAGCCATTTTAGGATCTATATTTATTGGGCTGATTGGATATTTTATATGTGTTAAGAAAAGGTCTGAGTCATTTTCCCACAGACGTCTTTATGATGATACAAGGAATGACCCAGGTAAGGAACTGCACAAGTATTTTACATAAGAACATTTTTTCTTTCTGGACAGAGCTGCTTAAATTTTCTGGTCTTACTGAACTATTAGAAATTATATCACTGACTCCAGTCAAACTAGTTTTCAACGGACAGTACTGTATTAAATTTTAACTTAACCAGTATTCCCATTAACTCTATGTCTCCTCCTTGCAAGTTATTTTTTTAACCTCTGAAATATGAGGAAATATCATATCTAGTATCAGTGAACCTGTTCAAAGAATTGTGTGTGAGTTCAGAACTACAGCTCAAAAGCTCTCCCAAACTTTGACTAACCAAAAAAGGCTAGACTCCTTACTCATCCAACTTCAATTACAGAACGAAGGATGAAGCTATATCTGGTCTTAGTAGTAAAAATATTTTTAAGAGGTTTAAAAACAAGATTGCTTTTGTCTTCTCCATAAATATGTATAAACTTGTACTGAAGTGTAATCACACAGTCTCCAAACATTTGTATCATGTTCCTGGACTTGATTTTTAAATATTTAAACAAACACTGAGAGGCTAAACACACTTTTTTCTCATATAAAATAAAATCAAAACAAACCTCTGGCAATACGCCTTTTCTGGCTTAAATGCAACAGCTGAAAGCTGCCTGAATGTCGGATTAGGAACTAGCTTTGAAAGTTGACCACCCATGTAGTCCTGAACAGGTGTTACTGGGAGGACATGTGTTATCCTCAGGAGATGGTAAATCAGGGCCTTCATCTTTTGCTCCCCCATAAAAAAAAAGAAAGAGGTTAACTGGATTTTGCTGTGACAAACTGCTGAAGTAAACTGTGAGGTACCCAGTGTATGAGGATAAGAATCTTTCAAGCGATACATAAAAAATAATTACATTATCCTTTTAGTTCTTCACTTAGATAACTCACTCGGACCATACGATTCGAGTTTTGGATGTGTGTCGGATGACAAAACCAGGACAGCAGACAAAGCAGAGAAAGACAACGCAGGGTGCCCACCCGATGACATTCCCATGGCTGACATGACACAGTCCCACAGCTCACCGTAACATTTGCTTCGGATTATATTCTCGCCTGTAATCTAGATGATTTAATCTTTTTCCAAAATGACCTGGCAGCTGTTACCTTACAGCCATTACCGTGCCAACAATGTTTTGGAAAGCAAGGGGAAAATCACAAGGTACGCTGATGTGCAACAAGCAGGGCCTGGTACCAGAGCATCGCTCTTCTACTTTGTAATTAAATCACCAATTTAAGGTTTTTCTGGAAGGATATTATGCTTGATTTCTTAGGAATAACATAGAGAGATAGCACCAAGGTAAAATTCTGCCTTGTGTAACTTTGGTCATGAATGCAGACATTATAACAGAGCAAAATTTGACCAGGGTTGAAATGACATTTTAGTATCAACACAAAAAAATCTGAAGTTTAACTACCTTGAGGTAAAACTCTTCTGTCCAAATGTAATTCCTACCTGATAAATTACATTCTTATTCTCACTTTCCATTTGTACTTACCTCAGTGAACACGACAAAAAGAATTAGACTAACTTGGATTACTCAGAGGTTGAAGTTTAAAGTTTGCTGGGGATTAACTACTGAGTAACATATACTACATTTAACCTTGTGATGACACAGAGTTAAAGAAGGGAAAAAAAGACAACAATTCCTCTGTCAAACTGATCTGTTGTTTGCACTGCAGGCTAGATATGCAGAAATGCTGTAAAAGGTTTTGGTACAGGTTAGACAGAAGAAATAGAACATGAAAGAAAAGGAATAATCTCTGCCGTGTATATAGATAGCCTAAAAATCATGCTCCTGTTTTGTCTTATGGCAGCAGAATGCAAATGATTGCATACCTGTATGCAATTATCAGAAGTGTCTAAACAGAGAGAAAGAACATGAAAAAGATATAGCTGTAAAGGCACAAACAAAGTACAGAGAAAGTAAGTATTCACATGGGGTACATGCTACTCTGACTCTGTTAAAATGCTTTATTTAATGTGGAAACGTGGATCATGTTTGTGTAGCCATCTCACTAACTGGCTGTGAATGCTGCAATGAATATATATGTAAAGTTCCATGCATGCACACATCAGAGAATGAAACACTGGCAGTCAAGACTGCAAATGAATAAACCAGGTATTTGTCTCAAAGTTAAAAGATTAAAGAATTGAATGCATACGTGCAGCGTTGCTGTTCCTACAGGGGTCAGTCCTGAAAACAGCATGCTTCCCCTCAAAAAGAACCCCATTTCAAACATGTATCCAGCGTGTTGGATAGCAGAGTGAAAATGAGACACATCCACCTGTATTAGGTGAGAGTATCACTGCTGCTTGAAATTAAGAAGAAGGTAATGTTCAGCTTTCATCTTCCTTAGCACATGTTACACCAGCTTTCCTGATAATGGTAAAGCAGTATCACGTAAGCAAAATTACTTCTTATACTTGAACTCTGGCCTCAGCTGCAAACTGAAAGAGCTCTCCCTAAGGAGAACTCAAAGTTAGAAATGAAGAGATGCCAAGAAACTACCACTGCTTTCTGTGTTAGTAACCATATAAACCAGTGTAACGTATTTTAGGAATTTATGAAACTAATTATTAGTAACTGCAAGGCTGTAACCTCAAGATTAGGAAGCCAATGAAGAAATATCACCAAGGCAAGCAATCAAAGTGTGCCCTTCACTTATATCATGTTAATTTTTAACAATCAAATTATGATTTTTTTGCATGCATATCCATGTGCTTATGTTATCTATGTACCTCTGATATTTTGCTGTTATTTGTATATTGCTTTTTGTTTTTACCAGGCCAGTCTCCAAAATTTGTGACATTTGTTCATCCTTCACTTTAAGTTAGAATTATTATGCTTATCCATACATATTACGTAAATAAAGCTGTTGTGTGCCATTTGACTCTATTTAAAATCATAAAACTCTGGCTTGAATTCAGACAGTTGTATGTATGTGAACTGGTGTTATTTTGTCAGGGTTTACATAGACAAACATTTACAATGGTAAAATTCATTATCTCTTGTCCTAAGACCAGACTTCCCTACCTTCCAGAAGCAGAACGCTATGTGCTTCAGTGAAAGCTAGTTCCATCAGGCCTTTCGTGCTGGAACCATTACACCTGTCTTGCATGGCACTATTACACTGACCTTCTAAGAGAGGGAAGACTGTTCTAGGTAACTCCTGTTCAACAGTGGCCTCTCTAGGTCTCACCCCGCTTGGCTTTGCCCCACGGGTGATGTGTGTGATGTCAGAGTGAATATAAGGAGATATTCAGACTGAGAATTTGCATATAAATAGTTAAAAGTGCTGTAAGCACTTAACGTGAAATCTTTCCTATACTTCCCTCTAATTAGCTCCCACAAAAAATGTTCTCATTTATTCTGTAAGAATTCTCTACAAGACATGATTTTTATATTGATTCCAGAACAGTAAATTAACCTACATGTTTGCCTCTAAAAAGACTTCTGCCTGCACGATATAAAATTCAGGCTTAGCAACATTTAAGATGCTAAAGCCCATTATTGTATTAACAACCAAGCTGTGTGGTGCAGTCGACAGGCTGGAGGGAAGGGATG